ATTGTAGGCAAAAATCCTTCAGCTATCACAGTGTAATGCCCTATTTTTTGGGGACTATTCCTCTTGTTTAATATCGGAGTAAGAAGCCAATATGCAGATATCTCAGTGTAATGCCCTATTTTTGAATAATCCCAAGTGTAACTGTCACTTGTATTCATATCTCCAGGTCTTAGTTCCTCAAATCTTTCTTCAAAAGGACATCCTTCCTCCATTCTCTAAACCATTGTCCAGCAAGTCTTAAACTCGTACCAGGGATGATATTATTCTCTAGTTTCAGATATCTATTTGGTGCTCTTGGTAGTTGTGATTGGATCCTTTGATGCTTATATCTGCTCCATTGCCTACAACAATTCTTACTCCCTGTCTGATCAAGCTTTGAGCAGCATGTATGCTCTTCCGGGTCTGGATCCAAGTGGGGCGGTTAGGGGTTTGTGTCGCTGAAGTATTTGCTCTTATAGATCTTGCCACCAACATGTCTTTCTGAGTTATCATCCTCCATAGTTGTTTTCCAAGTAATGCTATATTAAATGCCTCAATGTCTTTAAAACCAAGGCCACATTCTGCTTTTGGTTTGCCAAGTTGATCCCAGGCTTTGCAATGCATTCCTCTGGATTTATCGTGACAATCTGTTGACATATTGTTTTGGGAGTCTAAAACATGCCATTGTGTTATATATGTAGGCAGGGCCATAGCAACACCTCTCAAGAGTATTTATTTTCCTTCAGACGAAAGCAAATTAGACTGCCATCCTGAGAATCTGTGACTGAATTTTTTGCAAATGCAATTTCCGGAAAATTTTAGGGTTTAAGCAAAAATGCAATTTCCTACAACTTTGGGGGTTTAAGAGTCTCAGAATCTGTGACTGCGTTTTAGGATAGATGTTTTCAAGTTAGTTTTATGCAATTTTGGGCTTTTAGCCCATTTATGCCAAATGTTTGGGTCCAGTCCCGGAGTCGCTTACCGACAAGAATATGTTTGATGATTAGGTTTATATATTTACGAAACCCTAGTATACCTTGAGGCACAAGCTATTTAAGCAACACTAGTAGTACCCATTAAACCTAATAGGCGAGAGAGAACAAAATATTTACCCTTGAGTCTGGTTTAGAAGAATCTAGTGAATAAGAACGCGGTGATGATGGATCTTCAGATTGTTTCTGTGAAATTTCGAAAACAGAGAATCTTGATTTTGAATCCGAATAAAACTAGAATTCTCTGTTTCTGTATTCTTCAGAGAAACAGCCTGAGACCTATCATCACCGCCCTCTTCTTCACTCAGACTCTTCTGAGCTAGTTTCGTCTTCACCTAACTCTTCTGAATTCAAGAAATATTATTTGACAAATATTTTTCCAGATTTACCTTTAGTAAGACATAATATTACAAACCAAATTAATCTTAAAGATGAGTATGTAATGTAACAAACGAACTAACACAGTAAGCTATCAGAATCTTTAACTTGCAATCTCACCAAAGCCTCTTCACAAATCTCAGGAGGAAACTCTTTCAAAAACTCAGAAACTATACGTTCTTGATCTCTCTGCATCTCTTCAATCTCCTCTCTCTGTTTCCTCAACAAAGACTCAAGTTTCTCTACTATAACTCCAACGTCTTGATTGATTGGTGATGAAGACAGCTTAGAATTAGATCGTGGCGCGAACGGTGAACGTGAATCTCCAGCTCCAGCTTTAGGAGAGGACCAGAATTTTCTCCCTGAAGGAAATCTGTCTAAATGCAGCGTTTCTGGAGAAGACAAACATTTGTGTACCGCTGAATCATCACCGATAAGACGAGAAGGGATCCAATCGGGGATGTGTGAATGTATCTCTGTGTCGATCATTTTAACGATTGTTGAGATGTCTTGGTCATCGGTTAAGTCTAATTCTTCGACCATTTCGATGGCGACTGAGAAAGATGTGTCTGTCTCTATGTTAAATGGGAAGTGGATATTGCGGATTTGACCTGTATAAAAATGTTGTAATAACTGTGTCAAAAGAAAGTAATCATCTGAAGATTTGAGATAAAAAAAAGCAAAGAGATTTTGAACCTTTGGAATCGGTGATTCGTAGTTTTAGGAAGATTGTGTTGAGGTCTTTACGTTGGCCTTCTACGGTTAGTAAGCCTACCTCGGAATCCGAGAGTGTATCCACGATTCCGTTTCCGTTGTAGCCATTTTCTGTGACAATGTTATTGAACTTGGTGTTAGAAAATTTCACATAGAAAAAAGATAGAAATAATCTTATGTTTGCAATTATTGGTTTTAAGAGAGAAGTTCATGAAACTTCATATAGAGATGAAATGAATTACCAAAATTTGATTTACCTTTGTGAGAGTTGACAGTTTCGGTCTTTTCATTGTAGCATTTCAGAAAAGGATCATCAAGTAGTTCCTTGGCTGACAAGCGTTGTGAGACCTTTGCGATACACTTCTCTATGAATGTTCTCACTTGAGGATCAGTCACATTTAAAAGAGAGGCTGGTTTGACTCCCTAAAAAGATTGCGAAAAATGAATCTACTATATGAAAAAGTTGTTCTTGATTGGATTTCATATGGAGAAAAAAAGATCACTTACCGATGTAACTTTCCTATAAATCTGAGCAGCATTGGTGCATTCAGAATACGGGTATTCAAAAGTTACCAGCTCAAGCAAACACATCCCAAACGCGTATATATCGACAAGTACATTATAGTCCTCTTCATAGAGTTCCGGCGCCATAAATTCAGGAGTTCCTAACAATTTCAAACACACATTTTATAGTTTCACAATGGAGAAATATTTTAGTTTGAGAACAAGATTAAAGATCTCACCGATGACGCTATGAGCTGAGCGAGCCCGGTGCAGAATCGCGGCTAGCCCTAGATCTCCAATTTTGACCTCACCTTGGTTCCCATTAATGAAAATGTTATCACATTTTAGATCTCTATGGATCACAGGAGGATCATGACTATGTAGATAAACAAGCCCTTCTAAAATCTGCATTGACCATTTCTTCAATGCTCTTAGATCAACACACTTATGCTTCTTCCGGTACCTATATAAGCTCGAGAAACCGAATCGATCCACAAAAGGGTTTGTCAAACATGAAAAATCTTGATCAAATAAAAAAAGATTTGATTTGACTCTTGAGAGAGGAATCTGACTGTCTAAGATTTCCAGAAGTGAAGACTTCGGTGATGAGATTAATGGTCATGTGTTGGTGATCGATCCAAGAAGTGTAGAATTTGATGATGCTTTTGTGTTTAAGGGTTTTGAGTAAGTGAACTTCAGAGTAAAGACGATCTAAATCCTCTGAGCTACAGAATTTATCATCTAACTTAACTTGGTTCCAAGCCACTTCGATTCCTTCAAGTTGGTCAAATGCTCTGTATCTGAAGAATTCTTTTATCAAAGAAACCCTTTAGTGACTGTGTTTTGTCAGAATCTAATCTGATTTGTCTCTGTAGTAATAACAGAGATCAAAGAAAAAGGATACACTTCTTTGAAAGCTCCTTTGCCTAGAACTTCTTTATACTGAAAAATGAGAAACAAAAACATTAGAATTGAGAAAAAAGGTAAAAATCAAATCAAATAAAGAAGAACAGACCCGGCCATAGCGACCAGTGGGATCAATCTCAACGAATTCTTCCTCGGAATTATTATCGTCTTGTCGCATTCTTGGTTACTTGCAAGTCAAAACAAAGGAGTTCTTGAGAGAAGAGAGAAATTTAGTCAAAGAAAAGCAGGTTCTGACTATAATTATTATTATTACTTAGCTGTTTTTTTTTTATGAATAAATTGATTATTTAGATGATGGTTGAATTTAATGTTTGTTCTGCCATTAAAACCAAGCTTAAGTTTTTCCAGCTGCTGATCATAATGGTGTGGACTGTGGACTGTAGAATGTTGCACTCTCTTTCTTTCTCATCTTCTAATTTTGGACACTCAGATCCACTGGACAAGACCACGTGGCAAAGGTGTGGGTCGTTGCTCTTTTCGCGCCATTGAATCTGGTTTTTAATTTGATTTTCTTCTCATTTATTGTCATGTGAGTTAATTATTCTAATCAATTATTTTGCTTATTCAGTCAACTTCATGGTGTTGTGAATATTAAATATTCGGGCTTTTTCCTCTTCTTAAGTCACTCTTTTAGCTGACTACGAACCCTATAATTGATTATCCTAAACCGAATAATAGGTTTGGTAAATTACAAAATGTTTTAGCCATTGAACCCGCTTGTCATGTAACGAATTCGATTTTACTGTGTGTAAACAACCATTTGAACTTCAGCTTCAGTTCTTTTAAAGGAAACTTTTTACTAAAAGTTTTGCTCTCTCTCTCTCAGGATTATAATAGTCATAATTTTTGGTGAAACCTAGATATCCAATGTTACATTTTTAAAATAAACTTGTACTGACACAAATCACTGCACTAATGTCATGATCATTTGTTATAATCTATTATCTACTTATGTCTTAACTTATTGGTGACAGAAGTTTTGAGACGAATTATGACATTTAAATTTTCATGGAGGTGTTCGTTGAACAATGTTGTTGCATTATTTTTGATGAGTGTGAATAGGCCTGAGATTTCGGTTAACCGTTCGGTTATCGGTTGGGTCCATTCGGTTTCGGTTCTTTCGGTTTCAAAATTTAGTATCCATTCGGATATTTTGAAATCTCGGTTCGGTTTCGGTTCGGTTCCGGTTCTTTCGGTTTTAAAATTTAGTATCCATTCGGTTATTTTGCTTATGATATTTTCGGATATTTCGGTTATTTTCGAGTATTTTTACTATTTTTATATATTTTTCAAGTATTTTTGATTATTTGGTTTATAAATAACTAATTATTTTGAAAATATAATTGTATTTCGGGTATTTCGGTTCGGTACCGATTTTGTTACGGTTATAGAATTTAGTATCCATTCGGTTATTTTCAAATTTTCGATTTGGTTCGGTTCGGTTTTTTTTGCTTCGGTTTCGGTTCGGTACATTCGGTTCGATTTATTTACCCAGGCCTAAGTGTGAATTGACGGTTCAGGCGTTGAAAAACAATTATAAAAAATGATAATCTTATTTTTGTAAGGCCCATTGGGCCATAGTATACGGCAGCATAAAACATCCTTCGAACTTAGAAAGATGTGAAGAAGAGGGCTAACGGCAGCCAGAGACCATTATTCTAGGCACTTCACACTTGTACTGTATGGTGGTAAGACACATAAATTGTAGAAACACCGAAAGACTAGAACGGGGACACGACCAAAATAAGACACACACCAAATGAAATCTCGAACAACTAAACATTAAAAGACTGGTGCATGCATAAAACACGTTTCGTAAATCCAAAAGATTACTACTGTGAAGAAACTTGGCTTGTATATGTAAGTACAAAAGATCACAAATAAAAACTCTTCACAAAAACACGTTTTGAAGAACTTGAAGAATCCAGACATGATGATCATGATCTTTCTGCTATGCTTATTAATCTTCGTTACCATCATATTTTTCAAAAAACAGAAGAGAGGGAAGAAAATCAACACACTTCCGTCACCACCGGGACTACCGTTAATCGGAAACCTTCATCAGCTCGGCCACCACCCTCACCGATCACTATGCTCTCTCAGCCACCGCTATGGTCCTCTCATGCTCCTTCACTTTGGCCGTGTCCCTGTTCTTGAAGATGCATGACCGTGTTTTCGCAAACCGGCCACGGTAAAAAATCTTCGAAAAGCTTCTTTATGATAAACATGATGTGGCCTCAGCTCCTTATGGAGAGTATTGGAGGCAAATGAAGAGTGTATGCGTCCTCCATCTCTTCAGCAACAAAATGGTACGGTCCTTTCGAGAAGTGAGAGAAGAAGAGATCAGTGTGATGATGGAAAATATCCGGAAATCGAATTCTTTGCCGGTAAATTTAAGCAAAATCTTGGTGAGTTTAACTAACGATGTGATATGTAGAGTTGCTTTGGGACGGAAATACGGTGGTGAAGTGGATTTTAAGGAGTTAATGGAGAGGCTAAGTAAGCTATTGGGGACGTTTAGTGTGGGGAGTTATATACCGTGGCTTGCCTGGGTTGATTGGGTCAGCGGTTTGGATGGTCAGCTAGAAAAGACGGCAAACGATCTTGATAAGTTCTTTGAGAGAGTTGTGCAAGATCATGTCAATGGCAACAGAGATAGGACTGATTTTGTGGATGTATTGCTCTCCATTCAGAGAGAGAAGAGCGTCGGGTTTGAAATCAACCGTGTCAGCATAAAGGCTATCGTCTTGGTGAGAAAAATACACAGTTTTGGGTTATACATACCAATTCAGATTGTATGATGTTTTAGTATGTATATAACCGTAGTTCTTGTTTTGGTTATCACTTTTCAGGATGTTTTTGTGGGTGGTACGGACACATCATATACACTTATGGAATGGGCAATGACAGAGCTTCTACGTCATCCAAAGTGTCTGAACATACTCCAAGAAGAAGTCCGTACGATATGTAAGGACAGACCAAGTGTATCAGAAGATGACATCAAAGACATGAACTACTTAAAAGCTGTGATCAAGGAGACACTCAGGCTACACCCTCCCCTTCCATTGATGGCTCCTCACGAATCAACCCAAGATGTCAGATTAAGAGATTACCACATACCTGCTGGTACACAGGTGTTGATCAATGCTTGGGCGATCGGGAGAGAGGCTGCGACATGGGGACCAGACGCGGAGGAGTTTAGACCAGAGAGGCATTTATATTCGTCTGTTGATTACCGGGGTCAGGCTTTTGAGCTGATTCCGTTTGGAGCAGGAAGAAGAATTTGCCCAGCAATATCATTCGCTGTGGCGTTGAATGAGGTGGTTTTGGCTAACTTAGTGCATCGGTTTGATTGGAGATTACCAGTCGAATCTACAGAAGATCAGACGGATGTGGCTGAATCAACTGGTATTGCGATCCACCGCATGTTACCACTCTACGCCGTTGCATCATCTACTACTTGACTAGTTGACCTAGGCGTTATGAATATAAATGCTTTGTTCTGTTATACGTGTACAATAAACATATATGTTTACTCATTTGAAACTCTGGGAACCATAACTTTGCAAGTTCTCCACCATAGCTTTGTTTTTGTTGATACTGCTTGGACTCCACGAAACAAATTACCAATCAGGACGAAAATAAATAAGTATATCAAACGTTAATTTGTGCCTGGACAAGAAGTTAATTTGTACACAACTGAAGAAGTAGAATCACAATTACATCTCTTGATTCCTTTCAAAACGATTATCTAGCTAGCTAATTTTTTATTGAATATATAAATTTTGTGTTATCGTATTTATAATTTAAAAGTATGCTAATTTAGTGTTGTACAAATAAATGCAAAGTTGGTTATCATTAAAAAACCTAGTAATTAATTGGATTTCAAAATATATAGTTACGAGAAAATCAGATTTATGTAATAAACAAATTCGGTTGTCATATTTGTTACTATATAAAGTATGGTAATTTAATAGTATTAATTATGGTACTTTGTGTCTCCATTAAATAATTAGCACTGTGGATATATATACATAAACCCAAGCTTGTGCATAAGTCCAAAATATCAAAAAGAACTTTAAAACTCCTCACAAGATTTTTGTGTAAAGAACTTACAGAATCCAGACATGCAAATGATGATAATAATATAATATTTACTGGAAAACTTTTAATATTTTATGAATACAAAATAAGGTATTCGAAATATACAAATAAGGTATATAATTTTTACTTTTAAAAGTTATTTGAAATATATATACAAATAAGGTATATAATTTTTACTTTTAAAAGTTATTTGAAATATATATACAAAAAAAGGGATATAATTTTTAAGAGATAAATAGTTTTGTGGCTATTAAAAAATCAAACAAATAAGGCATTTGAACATATAAAAGTAGACGATGAAATATTTTTTGTTTCTTTTTTGGTAAAAGATTTTTTTGTTAACTTTATCTTTAAATAGCAAAAAAGGATTATGTGTCAGTTTAATTGTGATGTGTGATTGGGTGTCAGTAATATGTAGAGATTTCTTTACTTTTTAGGCATAGGATTTGAGAGAAAATTTTATTTTGCCAAGTAAGGCAAAGAAAGAAGAAAATCTGAGTGGACCCTAATAACGTAACGTACGTAGAGAAACTTTGATTATATAAACCTAAGTCCAAAAGAACACAAATTCTCAAGAAAAATCTTGAAGAACTGTGAAATCAAACTAAAGAAATGATGATGATGATACTTCTCTTGTGGTCAATAATTTTCATGACCATTCTCTTCTTAAAAAAAAAGTTGAGTGGGAAGAAAGGTAAGACACCTCCGTCACCACCGGGACTTCCGTTGATCGGAAACCTTCATCAGCTCGGCCGTCACACTCACCGATCACTATGCTCTCTCAGTCGCCGTTACGGTCCTCTTATGCTCCTTCACTTAGGCCGTGTCCCCGTTCTTATAGTCTCTTCCGCGGACATGGCTCAAGAAATCTTGAAGACGCACGACCAAGCTTTCGCAAACCGCCCACGGTCAAAACTCTCCCAGAAGCTTCTTTACAACAATCGCGATGTGGCCTCAGCTCCTTATGGAGAGTATTGGAGGCAAATGAAGGCTGTGTGCACCATTCATCTCTTAAGCAACAAAATGGTACGATCTTTTCGAGATGTAAGAGAAGAAGAAATCACTTTGATGATGGAGAAAATCCGGAAATCGAGTTCTTTGCCGTTTAATGTAAGCAAGGTCTTGGAGAGTTTAACTAACGATGTGATATGTAGAGTGGCTTTAGGACGGAAATATGGTGGTGAAACTGACTTTAAGAAATTAACGGATAGACTAAGCGAGCTATTGGGGACGTTTAGTATAGGGAGTTTTGTACCGTGGCTTGCGTGGATTGATTGGATCCGCGGTTGGGATGCTCAGCTAGATAAGATGGGAAAGGATCTTGATGACTTCTTTGAGAAAGTTGTGCAAGATCATGAAGATGGCGACAACCGAGATAGGTTTGACTTGATCGATGCATTGCTCAAAGTTAAAAGAGAGAAGAGTCCCGGGTTTGAGATAGAGCGAGTCAGCATAAAGGCAATCACGTTGGTAAGGAACAATACACACTTTTGGATGATACCAATCAGATTTTATGATGTTTTAGCATATGTAACTGTAGTTCTTGTTATTTTTTTGTTTTCAGGATGTTTTTGTGGGTGGTTCCGACACATCGTTCACGCTTTTGGAATGGGCAATGACAGAGCTTCTACGTCACCCAGAGAGTCTGAAAAGACTCCAAGAAGAAGTGCGTACGATTTGTAAGGGCAAATCAAGTGTATCAGAAGATGACATTAAAGAAATGAAATACTTAAAAGCTGTCATCAAAGAGGCACTCAGGCTACATCCTCCATTTCCAATGATGGCTCCTCATGAATCAACAGAAGATGTCAAATTAAGAGACTACCACATACCTGCCGGTACACAAGTGATGATGAATGCTTGGGCCATCGGGAGAGAGGTTGCGACATGGGGACCAGACGCGGAGGAGTTTAAACCGGAGCGGCATTTAGATACGTCTGTTGATTTCCGAGGTCAGAACTTTGAGCTGCTTCCATTTGGAGCAGGGAGAAGGATTTGTCCAGCAGTATCATTCGCTGTGGTATTGAATGAGGTGGTTTTGGCTAACTTAGTGCACGGGTTTAATTGGAAATTACCGGAGGAATCTAAAGAAGACAAAACCGATGTCGCTGAATCCAGCGGTTTTTCGGTTCACCGCGAGTTCCCTCTTTATGCCATTGCATCACCTTACTTGACCTAGGCATTTATATATATATATATATATTAATGCTTTGTTATGTTATGTTGTGGATTTGTTCTGATTTCTCGCCATGGGTTCTGGTTTTTTTTGCTTTTCTTCTCTAAGTTGTTTTCGTTAATTGTTATGTGATTTTAGTTATTTTAATCAATCATCTTGCTTTCTCGCTCTCATAAGTAACGTAGTTCTATGACTTCAAGATATTGCTATTTTACTACTCTTGTTTTCAGAAATGTCAAGGTTGTAGACGCGATATACTACGTGACAACTGGCAACCATGGCATGAACATCTAGGTTCTATGGGGTATACTCATTGTAATACGAAATATCATGAGTGATTTAAATGTTCTTGGTGGATATGAGGTCTTGCAAAAATGTGAATAATGTTGTTCCAATGGATTTTTCATTTTTTAGTGGATGTTTATAAATTGTGATGTTGTTTTTTTGTATGAACTTTTACGAGCTTATGTGACTAGTAACCTAGTATATGTTCTAAGTCATTTCTGACTAGTATGTTCTAAGTCATATTCTTTTGAAGATTGTTAGACCACCATTATTGGTGGTATCTTAACTATTTCTTAGCTAAATCTTAGCTAAAAAATTAAAGAAAAATCTTATTAAAGACTAAGATCCAAAATTAAAGTGGCTTAGCTAAGATCCAAATTTAACATTAAGATCCATTTTTAAGAACCATTTTTAAATTTATTATTTTAATACTCTTAAGAACCATTTTTAAGCAACCCTTGTTAATCATGCTCTAATACGTATAGATATGATATGACTATAGAGAAATCTTCATGGAAGGTGCGATCCATTGTGCTTGTTCATCAAACGTATGTAATTAGTTAAGCATTTATTATGAAATCGACGATTAAATAGCGTTATCGGTCAAAATTCCTAGAGCAAAGCTACCTGTGCTAGAGGTTACGTCTTTTTTTTTCTCTTAAGTTCGAGAAAACGTTTTGTGAAATTTGTAGTGTGTTACCATTCTTGTCCAATTTTTTTTTTCTTATGAAGATGATAAAAAGATCAATATGCTCACTCCACCGAAACCATGTTTATTTCTTTGAAACGGAAAAAATGTTGGAAATGAACTTTATATTTAAAAAAAAATTAAGAGAATGCAATATGTTTTCTAATAACCACCAAACTAACCACATGATGAATAAATATGCCCTGCATGCTGCTATCACAATTCACAAATCTATGTGACAATAATGCACATGCGTTAGAAATGCCATAAATCCTTAGGCATGTACGTAATTAAAGGATTGAAAACCCCACTGTCCTACTACAAATAGAATAATCTCACATGCAAGCCGCTACAATTGACATCTAAGTTAGGTCTCAAGGAAAATTCAATATTGCCCACATGACTCGATTTTTTTTTTTCGTTGTTATGTTTGTTACGCTAAATAATTTTAATTCACGTCCACAATTTCGTTCACTTAGGCACTTAATTGGCATCAACTAAATAAAAGCTTGGGCTAATTAGTGGAGGGAAAGACAAGGGCAATGTAGTGTTTATAAAACATGTGAAACTGTCTATTATTCTTGCAAAAATCAATATATCCCTTTAATAATTTTTTTTTCCCTTTAATAATTGATATCCTTCATCAGCTCGGCCTTCGCGTGGATACGGAGCTGGTCCCGTTTGGAGCAGGGAGAAGGATTTGCCCAGCAATATCATTTGCTGTGTTATTGGATGAGGTGGTTTTGGCTAACTTAGTGCATCAGTTTGATTGGAGACTACCAGCCGGACCAATGAATTTTGGGGCCCTAATAAAATTAAGAAAAAAATAATATCATAATTTTCATAATATTAAAAATTATAAAGTAAAAATAATCAATTTAAATGAAACTATTATTTTAAAAAACATATTACAATTATATCCTTTAAAAAGGAAATAATAACTTAAATCTTATGAAAATTAATTTTTTTATGGGTTTTTTTCAAAAATTATTTATCAAATTTGCTGTTTTTTCCTCATATTTACAACAATTTATATATATGTATAACTAAAAAAACATTTAAGTAGGCCTCTCTAAAGTGGAACCCCATTAGAATGTTTCATCACCATGTGCTCAAGTCCGGCTCTGACTACCAGTGGAATCTACAGAATATCAGACCGATGTCGCTGAATCAACAGGCATTGCGGTTCACCGCATGTTCCCACTCTTCGCCATCGCATCACCTACTACTTGATTTAGACATTATATATATATGCTTTGTTAGAAATGTACAATAAGCATGTCACTGGTAAAGAGATCTTTAAGATTTGAGTTCTTAAGTAACTACACTAATTTGACCCCAAAAAAATAACTACACTAGTTAAGAAATCCAAGTGAGCATAATCAGCTCCCTGGCAATTGTCAAAGGAACATAACAGACTGATGTTTCCCTCTCAATTATGCTCAGTATATGTTCCACTGTAGACATAAATGAGTGAATATAAGATATAGATAGAGACCATGCATGCAAAACTTTTTTTTTTTTAAATAGTAATCATTTAGATATTTTTAGGGTGGAATCAGATTAAAACTTTTGGAACTTTAGATATCTTTCCGATCTTGTAAACTTTTTAAAGATTTTTATGTTCCTATTTTAAGACGATATATAAAAAATTTGAAAAAAATGGAATATATCAACCCTAAATCACCGTATAATTTAGAAAAACACATATTGTTGATATCCATATATAATTACTGTTTTGTGAGTGATGTCATTGATTGCTGTGGAGAGAATGTAGATAAGAAACCCTGATCTTCAAAGAGAACTTGTACATCAAGTTCTTATTCAAACTAGACGGCACTTTATAATATTCAACGTATAAAAGTCATTTTCGAGAGGAATAATATTTCATCGAATTTTATTATTCATGTTAGGCAGAAAATAACAAAATTTTAATTGACACTAGTAGGTTTTGGTCGTCCCTGGATAAACTTGGCTTTATACATAAAGTCCAAAAGAGGCACACAATACAATCTCGAAAAACTTGGCTTGGACAGTATCTTTGGTCTCTGGAGAAACTTGGCTTTGTATATAAAGTCCAAACGAGGAACACAAAAATCTTTAAAACTCTTTACAAGAAAAATCTTCAAGAACTTGAAGAATCAAAACATGGAAATGATGTTCATGATACTTCTCATGTGCTCAATAATCTTTATTACCACTCTCTTCTTCATAAACCAAAATTCAAGGAAGAAAAGCAACACACCTCCGTCACCACCGAGACTTCCTTTGATAGGAAACCTTCACCAGCTCGGCCGTCACCCTCACCGATCACTATGCTCTCTCAGCCACCGTTATGGTCCTCTTATGCTCCTCCACTTGGGCCGTGTCCCGGTTCTTGTAGTCTCTTCCGCTGACGTGGCTCGAGACGTTTTGAAGACGCATGATCGAGTTTTTGCTAGCCGTCCATGGTCTAAAAATACCGAGAAGCTTCTTTACGACGGGCGTGATGTGGCCTTAGCTCCTTATGGAGAGTACTGGAGGCAAATGAAGAGTGTGTGCGTCCTCAGTTTGCTAAGCAACAAAATGGTACGATCCTTTCGAGATGTGAGACAACAAGAGATCAGTCTTATGATGGAGAAGATCGGGCAATCGAGTTCTTTGCAGGTGAATCTGAGCGAGATATTGGCGAGTTTAACGAATGATGTGATATGTAGGATTGCTTTGGGACGGAAATATGGCGGTGAAACAGATTTTAAGGAGTTAATGAAGAGGCTTACAAGGCTTTTAGGGGCGGTTAGTGTGGGAAATCATGTACCATGGCTTTCATGGATTGATTGGCTCTGCGGTTTGGATGGTCAGCTAGAAAAGACGAGAAATGATCTTGATGAGTTTCTTGAGAGAGTTGTGCAAGATCATGTAGATGTCAACGGAGATAGCACTGATTTCGTTGATGTATTGCTCGCCATTCAGAGAGAGAAGAGTGTGGGGTTTGAGATCGACCGCGTCAGCATAAAGGCAATCATCTTGGTAAAGGGGGAAAACAAGAAAATAAATTCATATTCAATGATGTTTTAGCATGCATAAAACTGTAGTTCTTGTTTTGGTTTTCAGGATATTTTTGTGGGTGGTACGGACACATCGTACACACTTATGGAATGGGTAATGACAGAGCTTTTACATCACCCAGAGTGTCTGAAGAGACTTCAAGAAGAAGTCCGTACGATTTGTAAGGGCAAATCAAGTGTATCAGAAGAAGACATTAAAGACATGAACTACTTAAAAGCTGTGATCAAAGAGACATTGAGGCTACATCCTCCACTTCCATTGATGGTTCCTCATGAATCAACACAAGATGTTAAATTAAGAGACTACCACATACCAGCCGGAACAGTGGTTATGATCAATGCATGGGCGATCGGGAGAGAGGCTGCGACATGGGGACCAGACCCGGAGGAGTTTAGACCGGAGAGACATTTCAATTCTTCTGTTGATTTCCGGGGTCAGGATTTTGAGCTGATTCCGTTTGGGGCAGGGAGAAGAATATGCCCGGCAATATCATTTGCTGTGGTATTGAATGAAGAAGTTTTGGCTAACTTAGTGCATCGGTTTGATTGGAGACTACCGGATGAATCTACGGAAGATCAAACAGGTGTTGTTGCTGAATCAACCGGAGTTGCCATTCACCGCATGTTCCCTCTTTATGCTATTGCATCATCTACTACTTGACTAAGGCTTTATATTATGTTACTAGATTAGGACCCGTTTGATATATGGGTTAATCAATAAATGTTTTTATAAAGTTTAATAAGTTTTTTTGCAGTTGTATCCGAATATTTATAGGCTACGAAAGTACCTATAAGATATGGTGAAATGAAAGGAAGAGTTTGATTACAAAAGCTTGTCTAAAAGACTTGAGGTACAACTAGACAATCTAATTGAGAAAAATGAAAGGCAGTAAAAAGCTTTGTTGATGAAATCGAAATCATAACCAAATTTCCGAGGCTGAAAAGAGATATGCCAATGCCTTAGAGGTGAGTTACTTTTTGGTGTGTTTTTACAGATTTCTTCAAAGTTATTAGCGTTGATATTTAAATACTCTAGTTAACATTTATCAAAAAATAGGTGATAGAATCACACCTAAAATTTGAAAAGTTATTTCGAATATACAAATAAGGACTATATCTTTTAGGAGATAAATAGTTTTTGTGGACCTTGTATACCTATTAAAAAATCTAACGAAATAGGTATCTCAAAAATTACAAAAGTAAAAGATGTTTTTTTTGTTTGGTCAACTTAATATGGAGAGATTTTTTACCTTTAATATATAGGATTTGAGAGAATCTATTTAAATCAAATTTATTTTCCTATTTAGGGAAAACAGAAGAAAATTTGAGTGGACACTAGTTACGTAACGCATAGAAGAAATTTGGCTTATATATGACCCAAGTGGCCAAGTCCACAAGAAGAACACAAAAAGATTAAGAAACTCTTCACGAGAAAAACTTGAAGAATCCCAATTTACAAAATATGATCATGATACTTTTCTTATGCTTAGTATTGTTCATAGCCATTCTCTTCTTCAAAAAACAGAAGACATCGATCACATTTCCATCCCCACCGAGACTACCGTTGATCGGAAACCTTCATCAGCTCGGCCAACATCCTCACCGATCACTATGCTATCTCAGCCACCGTTACGGTCCTCTCATGCTCCTCCACTTCGGAAGTGTCCCCGTTATTGTAGCCTCTACCGCAGAAGCGGCAAGAGACATTTTAAAGACGCATGATAGCGTTTTTGCAAGCCGTCCACGGTCGAAAATCTTCGAAAAGCTTCTTTACAACAGCCGTAATATGGCCTCAGCTCCTTATGGAGAGTATTGGAGACAAATGAAGAGTGTTAGTGTTATCCATCTCCTCAGCAACAAAATGGTACGGTCTTTTCGAGAAGTGAGAGAAGAAGAGATCACTCTGATGATGGAAAAGATCCGAAAATCGAGTTCTAAACCGGTAAATCTTAGCAAGATCTTGTCAAGTTTAACTAACGATGTTATATGTAGAGTCGCTTTGGGACGGAAATACGGTGTTGGAACAGATTTTAAAGAGTTAATAGACAGACTCATGAGGCAACTTGGTACGTTTACTATCGGGAGTTATGTACCGTGGCTTGCGTGGACTGATTGGGTCAGCGGTTTGGAGGCTCGACTGGAAAAGACCGCTAATGATTTTGATAAGCTCTTGGAGAGAATTGTGCAGGATCATGAAGATGGAGACGGCGATAAGACTGATTTTGTCGATGTATTACTCGCAGCTCAGAGAGAGAAGAGTGTCGGGTTGGATATCGACCGGTTAAGCATAAAGGCAATCGTCTTGGTAAAGGAAAAACGATATATCAAATTCAAATCCAATGTTTTAGTATATAACCATTAATTGTTTTGGTCTTGATTTCACTTTTCAGGATGCTTTTGTGGGTGGTACAGACACATCCTCCACACTTGTGGAATGGGAAATGACAGAGCTTCTACGACACCCAACGTGTCTAAAAAGACTTCAAGAAGAAGTCCGTACAATTTGTAGTGGCAAATCAAGTGTATCAGAAGATGACATTAAAGAAATGAAATACTTAAAAGCTGTGGTCAAAGAGGCACTAAGGCTACATCCTCCAGTTCCATTGATGGTTCCTCACCAATCATTAGAAGATGTCAGGTTAAGAGATAACCATATACCGGCGGGTACGCAGGTTATAGTCAATCTTTGGGCGGTCGGGAGAGAGGCTGCAACGTGGGGACCAGACGCGAATGAGTTTAGACCGGAGAGGCATTTAGAGTCGTCTTCTGATTTCCGGGGTCAGGATTTTGATCTGATTCCGTTCGGAGCAGGGAGAAGGATGTGTCCAGGAATATCATTTGCTGTGGTGTTGAATGAGGTGGTTTTGGCTAACTTAGTGCATGGGTTTGACTGGCAATCTATAGAAGATGAGACCGATGTTGCTGAATCAATCGGTAGTGTGATTCGTCGCATGTACCCTCTTTACGTCATTGCAACATCTACTACTTGATTAAGGCATTATATATTAATGCTTACTATTATGTTATGTATTCTACAATAAACATGTTTGTTCATTTGAAAATGTTGCTAGCAAAGAGATGTTTGAGATTTTAAAGTCTCGAGTTCCTAAACTAATTTAGAAAGCCAAGTGAGCTTACTTTAATCATTGTTCTGTACAACAAGCATAATTAATTAGTCCCTTCTCAAGTGGGCTTCAAGAACACGAGACGATATCATATCATGAACACGCATTCCCGGTTTCAAATTCTTTCCAAGAAGTTGAAGGCACATTGCGTGCAGAGAGTGAAAGAGAACTGATCTGAGACTTCCAATCTTTTGATGAATGGGGAAAGTGATGGTGAATGCGCAGCAAGAGTAAAATGATTATATGAGAAACCCTAATCCTCAAAGAGAACTTGTTCACTAATACAATTTGAAAGATTCAACGTTTAAATAATTGAATTTTGAGAAGAATGATAATTAGTCATATTTCATTATTTTTGTGAGGCAGAAAATAAGAAAAATATTGAGTGGACAAGTTGTATACATAAGTCCAAAAGAGGAACACAAAAATCTGGCTTAATCACTATTTTGTGGTATTTTGTGGTTCATTCTGTATGCAATATCTATTTCTATATGGCTCTTGAGTCTTGAATCAAGACTCATATCATCTAAGTTCAAAAAGAGGACCACAAAATTCTTAAAAACTCTTTACAAGAAAATCTTGACGAGCTTGAAGAATCCAAACATGGAATCGACGATCATGATACTTCTGCTAAGCTTAATAATCTTTATTACCATCCTCTTTTTCAAAAAACAGAAAAGAGGGAAGAAAAGCAACACACCATCGTCACCACCGAGATTTCCGTTGATCGGAAACCTTCATCAACTTGGTCGCCACCCTCACCGATCACTATTCTCTCTGAGCCACCGTTACGGTCCTCTCATGCTCCTCCACTTTGGACGTGTACCTGTTCTTGTAGTCTCTTCCGCAGACATGGCTCGAGGTATTTTGAAGACGCATGACCGCGTTTTTGCTAGTCGTCCACGGTCAAAAATCTTTGGGAAGCTTTTTTATAACGCCCGTGATGTGGCCTTAGCTCCTTATGGAGAGTATTGGAGGCAAATGAAGAGCGTGTGCGTCCTCCAACTCCTCAGCAACAAAATGGTCAGGTCCTTCCGAAACGTGAGACAAGAAGAGATCAGTCTGATGATGGAGAAGATCCAGAAATCAAGTTCTTTGCGTGTGAATCTAAGCGAACTCTTGGTGAGTTTAACTAACGATGTGATATCTAGAGTTGCTTTGGGACGGAAATACAGCGTTGGTATGGATTTTAAGGAGTTAATGAAAAGTCTCACGAGGCTACTGGGCGAGTTTAGTGTGGGGACTTATATACCGTGGCTTGCATGGATTGACTGGATCAGTGGTTTGGATGGACAGCTAAAAAAGACAGGCAATGATCTTGATGAATTCTTGGAGAAAGTTGTCCAAGATCATGTAGATGGCGACGGACAAAGGACTGATTTTGTGGATGTGTTGCTCGCAATTCAGAGAGAGAAGAGCGTCGGGTTTGAAATCGACCGGTTAAGCATAAAGGCTATCGTCTTGGTAAAGGGATAAGAAGAAATCAAATTCATATTCAATGATGTTTTAGTATATAACCGTAGTTCTTGTGTTTTGGTTTTTGATCACTTTTCAGGATGTTGTTGTTGGTGGTACGGATACATCGTATGCACTTATGGAGTGGGCAATGACAGAGCTTCTTCATCGCCCAGAGTGTCTGAACAGACTCCAGGAAGAAGTCCGTACGATTTGTAAGGGTAATTCGAGTGTATCAGAAGATGACATCAAAGACATGAACTACTTAAAAGCTGTGATCAAAGAGACACTCAGGCTATATCCTCCACTTCCATTGATGGTTCCTCACGAATCGACACAAGATGTCAGATTAGGAGATTACCACATACCTGTCGGTACACAGGTAATGATCAATGCTTGGGCGATCGGGAGAGAGGTTGCAACGTGGGGACCAGACGCGGAGGAGTTTAGACCGGAGAGGCATTTAGAGTCGTCTTCTGATTTCCGGGGTCAGGATTTTGAGTTGATTCCGTTCGGAGCAGGGAGAAGGATGTGTCCAGGAATATCATTTGCTGTGGTATTGAATGAGGTGGTTTTGGCTAACTTAGTGCATGGGTTTGATTGGAGATTACCAGTTGATCATACAGAAGATCAAACCAATGTCGCTGAATCAACAGGTATGGCGATTCACCGCTTGTTCCCTCTTTACGCCATTGCATCATCTACTACTTGATGGAGGCAGTATATATAAATGGTTTATTATGTTTACGTGTACACAAACAAGTTTACTCATTTGAAAGTTTTACTCACAAAGAGATCTTTAAGATTTGAGTTCTTGACTGACTACGCTAAATTAAAAGTAGACTGAGCTTACTTGATTCATTCTTCTGTACAACGAGTATTCATCAGTCCCCTCTCAGCTGGGCTTCACGGCTAGTCAAAGGAACATAACGAACTGAGGTTTCATTCTTGATGCTAACCGAACCATCTGAGTTCTTGTCCACCACTTGCAGATCTTGGAATATGTTCCCAACCGGGATCACCAGTCTCCCACCGGGCTTCAACTGATCAATCAACGCCTCTGGGATCTCCGGTGCTGCTGCTCCGACATGAATAGCATCATAAGGAGCAAACTCAGCCCATCCTTGCCTCCCATCTATATGAAACGAACAATAAACTCATTAAACCAACAATGCAAAAAAAAAAAAGAAACACCAAACAAATCTCAAAAACTTGAACTAAAGCTCACCGCCAACATGAACAGCAAGAGACCCTTCTTTCAACAATGGCGAAGCAGCACTCGCTTCAATATTCTTAACAGAAGAAGCCACCAGCTCAGGAATATGTTCCACACCAATAGCACGCCCTTGGGATCCAACCATAACCGCAAAGCAAGCCGTTAAGTACCCAGTCCCTATCAAAACTTAATCTCATGCTTATTCATCATATTCAAAAAAGCAAGAAGAAGACTGTACAAAACCAATTCAAGAACAGAAGACAAAACAAACCCGAGCCGACATCAAGAACACGCATTCCCGGTTTCAAATGTTTTTCAAGAAGTTGAAGACACATTGCGTGCATATGAGGTGCTGATATAGTCACATTATACCCAATAGACATGGGACAATCTACATAAGCAGAGGAACGATCTGGTACAAATACGCCTCTATCCACTGCCTCCATAGCTTTAGCAACTTCATCTGACGTAACTATACCATGATTTTGCAGCTTCTCCACCATAGCTTTGTTCTTGTTGATACTTCTTGGACTCCAGAATTGCTACATCATCGATTACAAAACAGAACCAATAAATGAAATTATCCACGTCAATGATTGACAAAAATCTCAAAGTATTGAATCGATTGGGTAATGGAATTCACAAGTACGTCTCTTGATTCGAAGCAAAAAGATTACACAGAGGAGGGAAGAGAGTACCTTCATCTTCTTTGAGAGGGAGATTCGTGTGAGAAGAGAGAAGAAGCTTCGATGTAGTGATCGGAGAGGAATGGGGAAAACTGAAAAGTGATGACGAATGCGCATAATAGCGGAAATTACACGCAACAAGAGAAATAAAGGAATCATTATCATGCGCATAATTTCTGGGTTTTTCTTTGCAAAGTTCGCCACAACTTTCTATCAAATTTCAGTATATGTCCCATAGTTTTTTCTCTGTATCAGTTTGGCCCAAAATGTCTATTCTTGTTTTTTGAATTTTTTATACATGTCAATTTAATAAATAAGGTTGCCCTTATGCTCAGTGGTAGAGCGTCAGTCTTGTAAACTGAAGGTCCCTAGTTCGATCCTGCGTGAGGGCACCTTTTTAAATTTCTCATCACTAAAGTGAAACTTGAAACGACGTCGTTAGGAGTTTATATCGTAAAAACACAAAACACCGTCGTTTTGAAGATTCGGACTCCACAAAAACCTCTCTGAATCGGATACGCACGACCATCGTCGGCTTCGCTTAGGGGTCAAACCTGAAAATGGCGAATCTTATGCACAGATTTCTCAGGAACCAATCTTGCTTAAGAGCAATTCCAAGACTTGCTCCGAGTCTTATAACTCATCAGAAGCCTTGCGTCAGCAACAAGGAGTCTGTATCCGTAGACTTCGATTCAGTTCCTATTACCAATCCTGTGATTAACGTCGCCGATAAATCTCACCGGTTTTACCCTAGTTTCTCAATCGGGTACGGCTTTAACCCGACTCTGATTCATGATGATTCGGGTCTAATCGAAACGGTGTCGTTCGCGGACGCCGTGGTGGAAGAGAAGGAGACGGTGATTTATGCAGATAGTGTGAAGAAGAAGAGGAAGAAGAAGATGAATAAGCACAAGTATAGGAAACTCAGGAAGAGTCTTGGACGCAAATCGTAGAGTTCCCATATTCCGGTGAGATAAATGGAAACTTTGTCTTCTTCTATATGTTGGGGATTTCAAGTTCGAACCATATCAGTGTGGAATTAAGTTGATAAATGTTGCAAAGTACTGAGAAATCTCTATAAATTGCATATCTCGTTACAGTTAGTGTTAATCGTTTGTTTTCCTCAATAGTTTCATGTAATTTTCCACACCGTTGCAATGTTTTGCTCTCTGTGTCGTAGCTTCAACTGAGTGTGCTTATAAATGGTGATGTTCCAAGTTTGTGCATTTCCTTGTTTGCATTGTCCATGTGTGCATCAGAAAAGTTGTCATTTTTATAGGCTCTAGTTTCTGATCGTATCGGCTTTACTTGGTTGCTTTGATCCGCTACTTCCTCTTAAGTATCTTGATTCTGGAAATCCACCAAGGATAGTGTCATGTACTTTGGAATCTAAAGCTAAGTGTGTTACATGAGATTACTCCTTTAAGCTCTTTCAGGGAGACCTAGATCCTGAGAAATTGTTGGTTAAAGTCTGATTGTTTTCTAGTCTATCGATGAGATTAGGGTGGTGTCATTACTCATTAGATTGTTTAAGAACTGGTTTTGCCATCCGATGGCGGGTTTGTGTCATTTTGTTGTTATTGTTGTTGCAAATACTGACTTGATATAGATCAAAAACGAGCTGATTTATTGCTTAGTTTCTTTAGCCAGAAATGAGGATTAGCATTCATCAACAAAATTTAATGGAGGAATTCACAGACATAGTGATTACTACTTTAAAATATATTCTTCATTGGTGTTGCTTAGGCAATGGCCGTCTAGATTTAACTGGCATGTAGAGTTTCTTTCTTCTACTCTTGTGATTACTTGTTGTTCCAAATCAATTGAGTGGGTACTAATCCGAGGGTAGTCAGACCTAATTTTCAACAATCATCCTTAGACCTTGTTTCTTGAGACTTATGATTCTTCTGCTTTCTCTATTTTTGGTTTTGTATGTTTGTTTTGATTTGATTACTAAAGTCATTCACCACACAATGTTTGGGACTATAATTCTTTGTGGATTATGTTAATAACCTCAAAATTATAATTGTATTGGAATAGTATAAACTATAAAACTTTAGATGGTAAACAATACAAAATAGTTTATAGATAGATTATTTTAATAATTACCATATATTAAAAAAATAAAATAAAAAGTATTAAGTTTAGAGGTGGGAAAAAAAACTCCTTTAGCCAAAGAAATTGATTTATACCAAACTTATATTAGACAATTTGGTTTACCACATCTACTGCACCAATAACAGACAAATCAATTGTCACTTGTAATTTTCTGTCTCGTTATTGTTTCATTCACCATTCAAGTTCAAATCCGTATATAGCATGTTGTTGACCAAAAAAATTGATTAGGTATCCTTGTGAAGGTCCTTTTGAGCTCATAAAAAGGGTTCAGATTTTGTTAAGATCATCAACAAACAATTAGAAGATGACTAAGACTATTCTTAGCCTTTGAGCAACAGAAATGTTTCTATCGGACTTTTTTTTGGATTCCTCTTTAGACTTCAATTATTTGAATCTTTCAAAAGATGTGGGAATCTTATGACGTTTTGGATATTAAATTGGATAAGGTTTTAAGGACAGTTAAGGCACGGTAGCTGTGAAGATTGGTCCACGATCCCTAGACAAAGAACACATTATTGTATTTTTAAATTATTGGGTTTCGAACGTATAATATTCATAACCGATAAAATAATAGTCACTTAGAAGAAACTAGGAAACATCAAACCACGTCGTTGCATTTTGGGGATCTTATGAGATACACAGACTTATACAAAACAAAAAATTAAAGATATTAATTACATATGCCTGAAACCAAGATAAGATCGGTACATGTTGAAAATGAAAATGATTCAATCTCCTTATAGAGGTGGTAAGACAATTATCATTAGAAACTCATACATCAATCATAAAAGCTGCAAGATAGCCTTCTCTTTTTTGTATAAAAGCTATTTAACTTCATCAAAAAAATATCTTATTACATAGTATTTTTTTCAGAAATATGGAATCTCTTTCGACTTTTGTACATATGAATATTCATCAACTGGCCTTGGATTACGAGATCAATGTAAATTATTTAAGAACAAAAATTATAAATATATGTTTCCTTGCATTAGGAAGTATCCTTTATCCAACCACGATGCCGTGTATTAAGCCAAGATCCATTCCAATTATTCATTCATATCTAATACTACATAAAACGACATTATAGCTTTTTTTTTTTCTTTTTTTTTTGAATCTAATGTTAAATTATATTCAAAGAAAAAATAAACGTTTATACAAATAAATGCAAACTTTTTATAAAGAAACTACAAAGAAGATTCTTTCATTGGTGTTGTCTTGATGCAAACCAATCTTGTAATCCCCTTGCGTACAGCGTACATAGTCATTATTTTATAGACATTATAGCTTTTATAAAGAAAGTCTTAACCCACGATCGGTTTAAGATTGTTTATGTTCATATTTTAATCTCAAACTGTTGTAAATTAAATACCAATGTTTTTGCCTAACTTCTTAAATATTGTGTTTCATCATGACATCATTGTATCTTTTAAACTACTTGCCCGTTGTTATCTAATTCAGAATAACAAACTAGTGGAGGTTACGGTATGGAAATGTAAATAAATCGCCACGAGAGCCACTCTCGTAGATCCACATGGCATTACCGGGATCCATGGAGAAAAATGTTTTCTATAAGACCAGTACATAGTCATTATTTTGGTAAATTATTAGTAAAATGGTCGATATTAGTAAATTATTTAGGTCATTACATAGTCATTAAATGGTCGATATTACTAAATTATTTTGGTACGTAATTGCTCGGTGCATGGTTTAAGACTTGTTTTTTAAAAAGCTAATTAATAATGTTGCCTTCATGTGGTGTGGAATTAAAAGTTTTTGATGCGTAGTGGTTAATC